GACGCTGGCCCCCGAGTGCACTCACCTCGACGTCCACCGAACCAGTGTATCTTTCGTGACGCGAGACCGGCGAAACAAAACGAATGAATCGAGATAGGAACGTGCACGTCACTCGAAAAGCTGCGCATACGAACGAGCGAGCGCCGCCACGGAATCCCCCGTACCGTGAGTTCTCCAGTGACGTCACGCGGACGCACCGCTGGGGCCCCAAAGGCATCGTCCAATGGCGGCGCTCTGCGCCCGCTGGTGGGGCTCCTGCTTTCGTCTGCGGTTCGCTATAAAGCCCCACTAATTGCCCAAGCCGCGAACAGTCGGTGCGTGCCCCTTTTTAAACGACGATGTAGCGCGCGGTCCCGAAAAAAATATATATTCCGGGGATCTCGTGGACTCGTCGACGGAAGATCAGTGTCACGAACGTGGATCGAGCGCACGTGCTCTGCGTGTATCAGAACCATCGAGATTCTGTCTTTATTTATTATCGTCGGAGTAGAAGTCACCTGAAAGAAGAATCTCGCCGGAGGATCTAGAGACGTAAATATTTGGCTTTGCTCGTCGATCTTCCGAATTTTTTTTCCCGGTGACGAATTGTGCGTGATACAGGGGGACATTTACGAAAAGGTAAATCCCAAGGATATTAAAGGTGTCAGAGACGTATTTCTCTTCTTCCAATCTTCGTACGTATCTTCACGATCCCCCTTCTCTGTGGTAACACGATTCAAGGTATACTCGATAAAGGAATACCTGTCGATGGAAAAGTCGAGGATTCGTTGGTAATCGTAGCAGCAAATCGGTGATCGATGGCTCGGTAAAAGGCGAGACCACGATACTGAAAACAATCGCCCAGCCGATTTCATTCGGCGATCGTGGTTGGAACTGAGTGAGTGAGTCATTTAGCTGTCGAGTTTCTTTTGTTCGAACACGGAATCGATTTTTGTGAAACGTTGTGCCCTGTTATTTCTCTATCCGATTCTGTACGGGGTTCTCGCGACCGTTGAAGGACAAACGGGTGAAAAACTGAAGCAGAGGAACGATCCAGGTAATGATAATGATGATCGGTGGTGATCTATCTTACGCGCCCAATGACAGGTTTTATTGCGTGTCGTTTACAAGACTGACAACGAATGTCAACGGTGATGTCGCTTTCCCTCGTGATCGAGATATCGTCGCAGAGAAATCGTATGCAAAATCATGCAACTGTGATACGATAGTGCCACTTTAATTATTGGCTCTTCGGGATTAGAGCCGATCGGGGAGACGAGTTTTGTGTAACCAGTTGCTGGACGCAGTCGTCACCGGCGTGTTTATACATATTCTATGTCTACGGGTTTCTCGTAGACGTGATGGAAGTAAAATAATAATTCGACCAGTTCGTGACGTCGCTCGAGAATGTCATTTTTTATCCTGGCTGATGGAAGCGTAGATTTTGCGGTTGATCGAACGATAAACATGAACTTCGGTGACAGGTGATCAGTAGACTGAGGATTTTCTGAATTTATAGTGTACACCATCGTTTAGATTTCAGTGTGATAAGTAGACTTGCGTATAGATTTATGCATTTGTATCTTCTTTTAACTTGGGAAATGCAGTAAAATAAAGGTTTTAGTAAAGTTCAATATCATAATATTATGTGTCACTATTAACGCAATAAAGATTCTAGCAGAGAATTCAGAATTCTGCTCTATTTGAATTTTTAGATATTTCTATCTGAAATTGTAAATTTGCATAAACTTCCGCAGTTTAGTGTAATAAGAGCATTAAGGGGTCATTTTACTTTGACGGCCGAAACAGTTAAGCCATGTTTAGTGACTTTTTCCGCAGTGAATAGAATATGTAATCAAATGCAACTTGTTAGTGTTTATTGAGCTATTTATAAATAATATTAAACAATTGGAAAAATAATTTATCTTTTATTTCAAGTTTTTTCTTAGCACGGAAGTGACATCTCAAAATTTAGACACCTTTTTTCTGAGATGTCACTTTCACTCTGAATGTCAAATATTAATTCCAGTAAAATAGAATTACATTTCGAATTAAAGAAAACGAATAATATTCAGGGTTATTAAATCCATTTTGAAATCATCAAGGAGTCTTAAGGCATGGAGTTAATGAAGTTCGATCAGGTTTTAATTTCACTTCGAACATGACGGAATTGTTCCCATTATGCACTATGTTTGCATAAGTTATCCACAGTCTAATGGCAACAAGATCATCCACTCTCGATTCAGACTCCGGTGACATCTTCAGAGTTGAATATTTGTGTCTGATACAGATTTCTATCAGGTTATATCGGAAGTCGTTGCGTATTTTTCTATAATATAGTTCCTTATTGCAGTCATCTTCGAATCATCGAACAATTGCTCGAGAAGCTTATAACTCGTTAGCAGGGGATGTATCGAGTCAAATGGATCGTTTCTCAATTAAAAATCTTCGTTTCAGTTAGAAAAGTTGAAACTTTGCAGTTCAAGTATACAACATTTATTACGCGACAATCTAATATATTTGTTTATTTTCCGATTTTCATCGAATGAATAAAACTGTAATTGAAATGAAAATTAAATTAAAGTAGAATTTCGCGTTTTTGACCACGGTGTCAAAGTTATTCGATGAGTATCACGGACACCATTTCCGCCAGAGAGATGCATCGCAGAGAAATGCACCTTAGTGAAGCCTTCTCTTTCGTCGCACGTGCGTCTTGATGGGAGTACTTGGAACGTCTGCTTTATGCAAATACTCACCCAGCTCATAGAATACATGAGTTATGTCATGGTTTCGTCGTTTCCTGTTCTTCCATCATTAATTCTACAATTTTTTTTTTCTATCCAAATCGCGTGACGAATTACACACATGTGCAACGAACACTAATATCTCTTCTAATGAATACATTTACGGGTCTATTAAGGCGGGAACAACCTTGCGTTCGATTTCTTTCGCTAAGAACTGTCCCTCCAGACGACACGTTTCTCTCGAAACCATCGATCGATTTTAATACTCATCGAAAATCCTTCTAATCGACCATTCTTACATCGTTTTTTCTTTATGTCCTGTCGTTCGAATTTGCCACGTTACTTTTGTTATGAACATTGAGATTCTAATTTTGCGAATGAATAATTGATCGATGTCGACGAAATTCTGTGTGGTTGTGTATCGATGGTAAGAACGAGCGTGCAAAAGAGATTTCTCTTTGGAAATAGAAAAAGAGAGTCTCGCGGAGGACGAAGGGGTGAGGAGGTGCTTAATTAGCGTCGAATTAGAAACTCAATTATTAGTCATTAACGGCGACTTTTATGTAGTATAACGTTCTCGAATACGAAAAATTATACCGTTGTTGGTCCGTGTTTCTCTTCTCCGCTCACGGTTGATCGAGTTTTGAACGCCTCGAGAGTTTCTCATAATTACTATGCCCAATAACGCTCGAACAAGTCAATCGCGAATTGAGGTGATTAAACGATTCATCTGAACATAATTCTTTATCCGGCGAATCTAGATCCTGTTATCTTGAATTTCTTAGGTGGATTATTTACAGAATTAACAGCAATTGATTCGTTGATGTGATCTCGAGCGCGGTTAAAAATCGAATATATTCCGAGGAAGACATGGGAATGGAGTTTCAAAGCCTTGAAATAGGACTACCGGGAAGAGACCGCCTTGAAAAATATCTCTCCGAATGGCAAACCTGATATCAGACGTTGTAGTCATCTGAAACACAAAATTCAAAGTTATTCTTAATCTTTAAACTCGTGGCCATCATTCGAATTAGGTTTTTGCAAACGTCTGCAAAATTCACGTTTTACAGTCAACAAAATTTTGTTATTTTTCAATATTTTTTTATTATCCTACTCCAGGGATAGCCTAATTTATTTATCCTAACTGGTTTTCAAATGATACTACTAGTTTATATTGTTCTATGTAACATCTACTAACTTAGATAGTCTAAGTGTCTTACTAAGTTGTGTCAATCATTTAAAACACATATTACCAGACACCATCACACCATCTTTCCAACAAGCTCCACGATATTAATTTACCGAAGAGCAGATATTAATAGCGAACTTATCACGAGTACGCCGCATCACTTATTTTTCCCGGTGTTTGAATATGCTAGTTAGGACAATTAAGCTGAGGAAGACAGTATAGGTGTCCTTAACGTCCATTTATTTTCAACTGACCAAAGAACAATGCGACATTCTATCCACGTCTGTTCTACCAGGCATTCCTTTCTCTTCACTATTTGTCTTATCTTGAAACACACGGTGACATAACTTTTCCATAAAAATACAAAGTCTCTCCTCTTCTATTAAAGTCTCTTCCTCTCAGTGTGTACTCATCGACAGTCCTCGATCGTAATCATCGGTATTTCGGTCACCATCCGAAGGAAAGTTTCATTGTTCCATAGAAATTATCGCGTAATTAAGTTTTCATTTTCTCAGAACGGTTACAGACCACGCAGGCAGATAAGCATGTAAATGATCAAGGCTTGAAAACTATTACGATATTGATGTAGGTTCTTGAAACAATTATTCAGAATTTTTATTCTGAATAACTTATGAAGAATCTAAACTTCAGACAATATCAGTTTCAGTTATTGTTTCTATATCAGCTCTCATATCATCTCTGAAATTTCGGAGTTTGTTTTCTGTTAAATTATACTTTTGTTTGTTTGTTTTAAATAATTGTTATATTTATTTTTGTAAACCGATGTGTACGCTTTCTTTAATTAATCCCAAAATGCTACCAAACACAAATTTTTCATTGGTATGAAATAATTATAAGAATTCGTCAAAAAACATGGCGACTTTATAAAAATATATATTAAATTGAGGTTCTTCATGACAGTTATGTAGAATAAAGCTTCTTCATAACTGTTTCAATCGGAACCTTTAAATAACAGTTTAAAACAGTTATTCTCGAAACCGTTTCAAGCCCTGCTCACGATCAAAGCGCACCCCTAAACCGATTCGGACAATCGCAGTTTCCGATCGACTAATCAGGTCCATTTTCAGAATTCTAAATAATGACTGTCATGGTGGAATCCGTGAAAATCGAGGAGGGCGAACGTCCGAAGATCACGGCCTTCGACGACATCCTACCGTACGTTGGCGAGGCCAGCCGCTACCAATGGTTCCTCTTCGTCCTGCTGTTGCCCTTCACATTCGTCTACGCGTTCCTCTACTTCACGCAGTTCTTCATCACCCTGCTGCCCGCCGAGCACTGGTGCACCGTGCCGGACCTCGAAGGTTGGAACCTCACGGATCATGAAAAGTGAGTTGAACGATCGAAAGAAATCAGAAAATTGAATACACAGAATGTTAATTTTAACTCGAGCAGCTGAATTATTTCTGCTACTATTGATAGTACATGATTTTAAGGCGTGCATCTGATGGTGATAAAATCTTTTTTACTTCTTATTACGTTTATTTACTTCTGCATTCTTCAAGCTGAAGCTCATTTTTCGCCTTCAAGGTCACTTCAAGGTCATGGTGTGTAGGTCGTTTAAATCATCTTGACGCCGACTACCACATCGCGTTATAAATTGTGTAATCTGCAAAAAAAATACGATGACCTTGAAAAACCCTTTAAAGTGACCTTCGCAGGATTTTTTACCACCATCATATTCACGCCTTAAAACCATGTACATTCGATGTAGTAATTTTTTCTTACTTTCAATAGTAGCGAAAATAATTTAGGTGTTCGAGTTAAAATTAACACACAGTGTAAGCTAATTTTTCACGGGAAAAACGTCGAGAAAAATCTGAACAAAAATCTGGGGCAATACTTATGATCATATATTATAATCGTGTAGAACGAACCAGCCGATAATCGAGAGACGATATTCGAGTGTATTCGGCAAATCTGTGAAAAAATCGTTTAAACAAAGCTAGCGGTACCACTAAAATCAATATATCGGTTATAAAAGCGAGAGCACGTTTTCGTGTCCTACGTAACAATTATCGTCTAGCTTCAGGAAATGGAAGAAACGAATCGGTCGTGGCGCCGTAAAATTGTGTTAATCGGACGCGTTACAGTCTCGTCACCGCACGACACACGTTTTAGCAATTTCTCCACGACACTGTGTGCACACGCCAGCCGCGACACCAAGAGACCAGGAAAAACTGTCTCGTACTTTCCACTGAATCACGCTCCGCGAAGAATACACCGAGAACGGTAGTTTCAATAGGCCGAGACTTCGATGGAAACCTGTTTGGTCGACGACCTCCGGGCAGATTCTACAGTTCTGCGAACGAAACGGCCAGGAAATTCTTTCTCCTTATCGTTCGAAGGTTTCCTTCCAATAATTTGCAAATACTGACAATCTCGACAACCACAGCAATTTGGTTGGCCATGCAAACTGCTCCACAAAAATCTATTATGTTTCTTGCACGTGAAATAATCGTTTTTATTACCAACACTTGATATTCTATTGAACATTATACGAATTTTATTAGATAAGGTAAGATTGAATAGAGTCTATATACATATACATGTTTTGTCGTTGTAATCAAGGTGTTGCGTTCATTTTATAATAATAATGTAAATTTATTTACGGGAAGTCCCTCCTTTTACGTGAGTACACTGCTGATGTTTATACAAAATCACAATTTTAGGCATTCATTTTTACATATAAAAATTATGCATCAAATCTTTTAATTACAAATCGAGACACCTCGATCCTATTTTCTAACGATTTGTGGTTCTTGCGATTTGTTGGATAACTCGAAGGAAAATCTTGTCGAACCAACTTAATTATTGTTGAATGAAATTTTCGTTATCTCACGATTAGGGCCAGGAAAACTGTCTTTCCGTTCCAATACGATGCAGAAATATTCGCGACTGGGATAGTTTCTCGGATCGTAGCTTCGACGAAAACCTGTTTGGTCGACGACCTCCAGCAGATTCTTAACTTCGTCGAACCGACATTGACCAAGAAATTCTTTCTCGTTACAACCGTATTTCTAAAATAACCGTGTTACGAAATCGTCGCTAATTAAATCTCAATATATACGCGTCAATTAGCATGTCTGTTCCCACGATTTCGTTTCTCACTTTTACCTTTCATTTGAAATTCGTTTCTGGAGAATTTTTTTTATTTGGACACGTTCATTATGTTATCGAACGGAAAGAAACTGAAATCTTGATTTGATTAAAACTAGAAATATCTAATTAAATAAAACTTGCACAGTAGCACAACCAAATCCGTCAAAATGACAGATTTCAAATTCCTTATTTTACAATTACTAAAATCATGAAGATGCTTTCGTCGGTATGCATGTTGACTTTCAATTTCTTATACTTTTTACATTATACATGTAGGTTTTGTACTATGTTATATTGTATTACATGGCGTTAGTATTTCTGTACTCAATGTGATTTCTGGTGTTATTGTCTAGTCCTATATCTTTCTTCGTAGATCGAATTTTGGTTCGATTTGTCGCGGACATGGTTGCACGGAATCCTCCGTCGCAAAAATCCTTCACTTTCGATTTTTCATTCCTTTTCTGTCTCCGCGATCTGTTATTCCTTTTGGTTTCCTGTTTGAATCGTTCGAGATGGACGACGCACCCGGCACTTTTTTTATCAAGATTATTCCTTCCTTGTACAGGTCTCTTAAAAACGTATACTTGATACCAAAAAAATACATATACTTGTATATTTATTACATATTTTATACAGGGTGTCATATAACTGGTGGTACAACCAGGAGTCGGTGATTCTACGTGAAAAAATAAATCGAAAATATACAATAAAATGTTCCCATTTCAGACTTCGTTTTCGAGAAAATCGACTTTGAAAATTAATCTGAAACGCATGTATTCGCCATTAATAAGTAGAAATGAAACGCAATGAACAGACAGGTTATCCAAGTCCTATTCAATTGCTCGCGTATCCAGTAGATTTTCAAAGTTGATTTTCTCAGAAATGAAGTCTCAAATGATCAAATTTTTTTCTATATTCTCGATCTATTTTTTTTTCTCCATTTTAAGCATCGTCCGAGGAAAAAGAAATTTTTTTACGGTCGTAAATCGAAGAGGTGGTAACTCGAGGAATACCTGTAATTTAATTTCATTGTCTTGAAGACGTGAATTGGATAGTGAAAATTCGATTTTTATTCAGGATCAGCTTATCGATACCTCCGGCGTCTACGGAAGAGTTAAAGGTCGAGGGCGCCACGTTGTTCTCGCGATGCAATATGTACGATGTAAACTACCAGGACATACTGGCGAACGGGGTCAGGATGGCGGATCCATCCTGGCCGATTAAACCGTGTCAAAATGGATGGTCTTTCAATCACACGATGATACCGTACAAGTCTATAGCCGTCGAGGTGAGTCGCCATAGTCGCATTCTTCGCTCGTTTATGCTACAAAGTTATGTATTTTTACAAATTATGTACAATTTATGTTGATTAGTGCTACAAAAACGTGTTAGTTAATAACGCTTTTCAACAGTTATAGTATGTTAGATAAAGTCCCCTACATTATTTCAAAAAGCTTCGATCCAATGTCATGCTTTTTATCAGCAATTATCGAAAGTAGTTACCTTCTGGCGCAATATATGTATACATTTTTCATGGTAGTCACACGAACACTGGAAATAGGTCTGGTAATTGCTTTTCGAGATAGCAGAAAACAGGTATGTAATCGTTGATGTCAAAGTGAGTTTCGAGAAATGTTGCGTATTCTCAGTCACCTGTCTAGCCAAATGTTTCGTCCGTCGTCTTTTCCACCATATGGAAAAATAATTATCAGAGCCATTTCCAAAATTTCCATAATTATACTAAACAGTGTATCTCTTTAAAAGAAAACTGTTTTTAATACTCAATAATAAAGATCATATCACGTCATTATATCGTGGAAAATTGCTGTTTCGATTTCAGTTTAGACATTTTTCGGACAATCCGTCAGATCTATTTAAATTGGAAAATTACAATGTCTCTGCCCTAAACATCATTACACTTCAATTTTACGTAACGTTTAAAATCGGCAGACATTTATGGGACAATCTAACAGTTCCGTTGAATTCTTCGTTCCACCCTCCCTCCATTCATAATCGTATACAAACGCCAGCACGATACGTCCGGAATAGTGATATATACGTCTCGCGGAAGTGGAACGTCGCTTGGCAATAATCCAGATAGCAAGACTTGCACAGCAAGTTCGGTAAATCAGCCACCAAGTGTACATCCTATCTGATAAGTGACTTGCAAATGAACGTAAACCTAGTGAACAGAAATTAACAATATACACCGTTTAAACTGTATCAGTTGACTCTGTTGGCGAAGAAGATTTATCGATGCACAGTTTTACGTCAGACTGACGAAAATTGAGTCTTCTGTATTTCGACGGTTACCGAAAACAATGGAATCCCATTTCTTGTGTATTTTTTTTCTTTTTATTAAACGACTAACAATAATCATCACCTCTGAAAATTTTTTTATACAAATATAACTAAATAGGTGTTACTAGTGTTCGGTATAATGAATTTAGAAAACTTATAGCACTTGTTTCGTTTTTTTCACTTGGTGGATGCAACAGGGCCGCCCATACTAGCGGTCGCTTAATTATTTTAAGTAGTGTATTATACAAGACGATACGAACGAAGAGTTCAATCAGTAGAGTACTTTGCTATTAATTTTCCCCTGTGCCAAATATTGTATTTGCAAGCCTTACCTGGCACACGGTGGTGGTTCAATTCACTCAAGGGCCAAGTGGTCGAAGGCTTTGCCAGAACTGGACCAAACGTGGATTTTTGTTTCTTTCAGTTGGAATGGGTCTGTGATGACGCTTACCTGGGCTCCGCGGCCCAATCGGCGTTCTTCGTGGGCAGCATCTTTGGCGGTTTGGTGTTCGGTTACATAGCCGATCATTATGGCAGAATTCCAGCGCTGGTCGCCTGCAACACTGTCGGTTTCGTTGCGTCCGTGGCCACCGCGTTCTGCAAGAGCTTCTGGAGCTTCTGCTTCGCGAGAATGATCGTCGGCACGTCGTTCGACAACTGCTTCAACGTTCTTTTCATTATCGGTAAGCAGTCGTGACAAAAAGATGTTCGTCAAAAGGAATCTCGAAACCGTACAATAACTTAGTGATTTAAAAGTTTCCATTCATTCGGGCAATTATGAAAGCGCGTTTAATATTATAACTACACTGAGGTTAACACTAAAACTACTGACGAATAACGTGTACCTTTTTTATCAGATCGATAAAAACGATCGTTTTCTCAAGATACAAAAATTAACTGAATAATTAATTTCTTTATTTATATACTGCAATAGAAGCTACGAAAAACTTTAAAAAATGCACTGTTATAACATTAGTAGACGCCATTTTCTAGTTTTCAGTCAGCAAAGTGACAAGTGTCTGTTTAATCTCTCTACGTCTGAATTGGTCCGCGATAAATCTAATTGGAAACGTTAACAAAATTTTCATCGATCAAGTATATACATAAATAAGTTAATCTACTTACCGAAGAATTATAAACGAGTTTTCAGTTGCAAAATAAATGCCTAACAGTTATCAGGTGCCAAAATGGCGGCATGGCAATTATGGAAAAGACATTGTAGAAACGATATATAGAAAACTTACCTTCCGTAATCGTAATTAATGCTTGACGATCGGTCAGATAGCTCGAAGAATTCCGTACTGCTGACATTTCGCGTAGACAAGTAGATAACGGAAAGGTTATGTTCGCGACGCGATCATATGTGGCCGGTCACAAGGAAACAAATATGGCGACAGGTTTCATAAAACAAACGATTACATGCTTATTTATAGACGTAGGGTATCATGCTGGATGTAATAAAAAAAAAGATCAACGTGTCGTGAATGTGTACGTTTCCAGTGATCGAGTACGTTGGCCCGAAATACCGGACGCTCGTCGCGAACATGTCGTTCGGGCTTTATTTCGCGGCAGCCTCGAGTCTTCTGCCGTGGATCGCCTATTGGATCGCCGATTGGCGAATTCTGAGCATCGTGACAGCCTGTCCTATGGTGGTCGCCTTCGTGGCTCCGTGGATCGTTCCTGAGAGTGCACGGTGAGTCAGCCGAAACGATACTCGAAAGAGTTCGAGCGTAACATTTATCGAAACTTTAGCTGATAAAAGATGATACCGATAAGCTACATACAGTGATTTCTCGATGAATGCGACACGAGCAGCGGCGTTATCGCCACCACTGAGGTGGGGGGTCCTGGAACTAATCAAAACAGAGCAAACAGAAGCTAAGCAGAGGCTTGGCTTTTGGCAAAAACAAATTTTATGAGGGGCTAAAATCCTTTCCGCCTTCCAATGCATGCTCCGAAGCGGATCCCAGTTCGTCGCACTCATAGAGACATTACTGTACATGTAATTCAAGACGTCGAAGATATCGAAATTCTGTGTACAAGGGTGATTAGAAATAGAACTAAACCCTTATACGGTTCACTACTTAAATAACTGTATAACATAGTGCAATCAGTAAAATTAAATTATGTAGTCTTTGGTTACATTTTCAATTTAGAGCTTAATTGGTTGATTGATCATATTATGATTGATTAATTTTATCCTTAGACTATAGTGTCTGTTACTACGACATCATTGTAAAAGTCAATTCGTATAGTTATGATCATTGTTTAAACACTATACACTGCGTGGCATAACTATAAAACTACCCTAAAATTTGCAATCCTTATGTATAGCTATTCAAATAAAAAATAACCGTTTCTTTTTCTAGGCAATATAATTTTCATTTTCTGGAGAAACATTATTCGTTAACACGATTTCAGACATGGCGAACTTGATTCGTTTTTATTTTAACCACAATACAATACGAATTGAAATTTTCAGGGTAATTTTATAATTATGCTACACAGTGTATAGTAAACGTAAGTCGTTAAAATAAAGTGTTGGCTATACATTCGTTGCTATAGTTGGTACATCACCAGCGGAAAGATCGACAAAGCCATCGGGATGCTGAAGCACTTCGCGAAGGTGAACGGTAAGGAGGTGAAGCCGGAGATCTTCGACGAGTTCGAGAAGAGCTGCAAATCGATGATCGAGAAGGACAAGTCGCACAATCAGTACACCGTTCTCCATCTCTTCAAGATGCCACGGCTCGCTCGTATCACCATCATGCTCATCATTTATTGGTGAGTTGATATTCGTACTTTGCCGTCCATTGTGTGCGATCGTTAAAATGAAACGTCCGTGTGCATTTTACGATTTCCCAATACCTTACGAATCAGCCTTTAACATCGAAATTTATAGGCAGGAAAAATTTGTCGATAGAACGCATAGGCTAATGATGCAAGGCGCGAGGAATGCAGATTCGAATCTGGTGGCTACAATTCTGATAAGCCTATAAGTTTGCCATCAATGATACTCAGTGGCATTTGGTATCTTGAATGTTATGAGAAACTATGATTTCAAGGGTGGGAAAACTCTGATTTTATTCCAATTTAATAAAACCTGATGATCCAACACTTTTGCCATCAGTGATATTCAATAGCAGTAAATATCTCTGTAACTTTATTATGATTTCAAGGGTGGGAAAATTCTGATTTTATTTCAACATAACAAATCCTGATAAACCAACACTTTTGCCATCAATGATATTCAATAAGGATAGTAATCTTCATATCTTCATTTTACGAAATTACGATCTCAAGAATTTTATGCAAATTTCATAGATCCGTTTCATATTTTCAAATGCAAATGAGAATTACCTACTACATTATTGTTACCAGCAAACTACGGATATTTATCATTTTACACTAAACTGGAGCGATTACTACGCTATAAAAGTAAAATGTTCAATGACAATTCGAATCTATTTCGAATCTACCTAGATTAATGAAAGAAAGAAATTACTGTTTCATTCCGACTTTTGGATCAAAACCTATAATAACGTGAACGCCAATGTTGACCAACTGAGCGGAGCACCAAAAGTAGCCTGTAACAAGATTAAATATTCAAGTCCCGTGACTCTCTTCAAATAGAAAATCTCGTGAATTTTATAAAGTGGAGACACCTGACGATCATTTCTCAAGTGTCATACCCTGCGATCTCAATTAAACTCGATCCTGATCGATTCTCGTGCCTCCCGGCTGTCCAACATCGCTGCGGACTAAATAGACGTATAACCCTCCAGCGAACTGTGTCGATCTCATTAGCCTGAGCGTTCCATGGAAGTAGCTAACAAGGGCAAGGGGGGTCACTCCCTCCCCCCGGACAGAAAAAAATGACTTTTGCCCTCCTTACAAGAAAAAAATTGTATTTCCCCCCCCCCCAACACTTCCCAGAATTATAAAATTTTTGCGTAATATTTAATATTACAGTATAATTTGAAACACGACTAACAGCCTCTATTAACAAAACGCATGCATTATCAACGATTTATGACTTTAAAAACGAAATAAAGTCTGTCTGCCTACGTACAGCCTTTTTCACTGTGATAGTCGATGTGTTAATATTTTTGCTCCCCCCTGAATGATAACCTGCCTACGCCTATGGTCCGTTCTTATATTATTCATGCGTTTTTATAAAAATAACGACGAAATGGCCGAAGACACGGTGGCCTACGAAATGAGGACGCTCATACGTAGTAAATCTTGTAACGCGATCGCTCACGCATGCTAAGCAGTCGGTCAGAGAGCAAGAAGATGGAAGTTCACGATTGATCGACCGTTCGATTTCGCTCGTTTTCCAGGCTGCTGATGGTATGGGTGTTCGACGGCCACGTCTGGAACATGAAACTTCTGGACCCAGACGTGTTCACGTCCTTTTCTTTGGCCTCACTCACCGAACTTCCCGCTGCCATTCTGCTCGCCCTCTTTCTGGACAGATGGGGCAGACGATGGATGGGTTTCGCTTCGATGTTCCTCTGCGGTGTTTTTTCATTCGTCGCACTCACCACGCCAGCCGGTAAGTTCTCTTTTTTTTTTTTTCGTTCTTGACTGACGGCCCTTTGACGAATTTATTCAACCATAAATATGAAAAACGACGCCCAGACGGGGAATGTCTCCTGATTCTTAACCTATCAAACACAAAATCGATCTTTCGAATCGTCTTAATACCATCGCCTTATTTCGATAATTGTTCGCTACAATCTAAAAGAAACGTTTAAGATTACCAGAATATCCTTAAAGATATCACACAGGTTCAGTTTGTTTCCGGTTGTACACTTCTTTTCATTTAATATACGTCGTCTGCTTGTGACGCATCGACTCCCAGAAACTGGCGGCCATATTGAATTTTCAAAGCTTCATCCGCCATATTGAATTTTCAAAGCTTCATCCGCCATATTGGACACACTTCATCGATCTATAGACTACAGTTTAAAATAATCCAAGCTTTTTCTTCGATATATATCACAATCGACAAAAGGTTTCCCCTTTTTCATTTCACTTTGCGAATTTTTCACAAGATAATTATGAACTTTGCTCGTTTCACGACTCGTACTGTGAAGGAAACTAGTTCAGCTTTCAAAAATCCACCGTGTTCTTGTGTAAAATGAGACTAATAAGGGACGGGTGGGTACTTGTGAACAACGAAATGAAACGAACCCGTGGTTTTCTGTTTTAATATCGCCGAGTGCGAGTCGGATGAGACCGAGGTTGCTCTATAGAGGCAGCACCGCGTGCATCGGTCGACGGAATGGAACGCAACAACGGCATTTACATATTTCTCAACTTGTTCAAGGTCCGCCGACGGTCGCTATGGCGATCATAGCTCGTCTCGGAGTCAATATCGCCGCGAACATCGGCTTCCAATACGCGGCGGAAATGCTGCCGACTGTGGTGCGAGCGCAGGGCGTCTCCTTGATCCATATCATTGGCTACCTGGCTCACATTTTGGGTCCGTACATCATTTTCCTGGTAAGCGAACCCATTCTTCAGTTATACCTCCGAAACAGCTAAGCTGAACATCGTCATTACGTCACTTGATTATACATACGTGAAATACCGATCACAATATTTGAATTCACGTGCCGATTTTTATTGAAATCAAAATGGTTCACTATACCTACCGTTACAAACCTAGTTCCTGATCACGTAAGAGTAGGTAACTATAACCGTTTTTTTAACGTATAAGTAGAAAAATTAACCAAATCCACAAGAATTGTTGTTATTCGAATCAATCTATGTTTCATCCTTAATTTGATATTAACAAAAGTACAGAAATAGTAATGAGTAAATTATAATTAAAAATTTAACTTTGAAATAAAATGTGCAAGGCAGTAATTTCTGATCACCTAAATCATATATCTGTATCTCACTCGGAGCTATAAAATATTACGGATAAAATTCAAAATCGTTAGTAATTATTCAATTGATAGGATACTTTTTTTTAGGGAGGAAGGTATTCCTTAGTGAATATTTACTCACAATAGTGCCCATTATATTTACCGGAGTTATATTTGATTTAAAAAGAATCTGAACGTTCATATCTGTGCCAGACACATGAGTTCCTCAAGATGTTAAATTGATGACGAATTTTATGGTGTACTTACATTACATATGAAAATTTATGCTTCGAATAGAATGATTCTTGCGAATGAATGAAAGAAACGTTCGATATTAAAATTTTCACGTTCAATATCGCGGCACTGAAATCGTACGAGAAGGTTTTAACCAGTTTCTCTTTTTCTTAGGCTGATATCGATGCGGCTCTACCGCTAGTCACCCTCGGTATGCTGTCCTTCATTCACGCTTTCTTGACTCTTGGCTTACCAGAGACCCTAAACCAGGATTTACCAGAGACCCTTCAAGAAGGCAACGATTTCGGCAGGGACCAGAGCTTCTGGTGGATCCCCTGCATATCCTCGTGAGTACAACTTTTTCTTTTATTCCATCCCTCCAAAACCGTTGGAATACTTCCAACCGATTACTCGACACTTCAAACAAGCCACGCCAGAAGATACTCCTAAAGATCCGAAACTTCAAGTAAACTTCGTACTTTCCTCTGTGAACAATAGTTCCATCCACTGCTTTGACCTCCCTCCCCCAACCAGCTAGAGATCCCTTAGTTCTTTCGAACTTCCCGTTCATCCTCACGAGCACGTAATTCGCCCTCGGTTACTCAAGTTTCCCGTGAAACTCTTCCAGGAGCAAGAAAGTGAAGAAGTCCTACCGGAAGAAGGAAGGTCTCTCGAATCCCGCGTTCGCCGGCAGCGTTCAGAAGATCGACTCCACCAGATTATAGCGACCGTATAACAGCGATTGGACGCGTCAAGCGGTGAAACTTGCCAAATTCCTTTGTAAATATAGTCATTAAAGTGCGTATGTGTGATGTTAGGTGTTAAGGTCCGCTGCGAGCGTGTCGGGAGGTGTTAAGGGGGGAGGTGGAACGCCTTTGGGAATCGCAGCGAAAGGGGTAAGAACGTTGGGATTCCGTATTGAGCACCATAAAGAACGATATATCGATCGCAAAACGTGTATCGAACGTAAACCAAAAAAAAGAAAAGAAACAAGATACGGTTCTTCGTCATGCCAGTGACTACAGATATAATAAAACTACGGATGGCATTGTTATCGATAGGTCATGGATTTTGCCTGAGAACCCCAGAGTGAAGTTAGGTCTCTATCACTAGATTGCGGATTTTTATGCAAAATGATATTTTTTAAAGCAATTCATACAGAAAAGAACAAATGTAGGAATTTCTTTCTTTTCTGAAGTATTATATTCGGTTCCAAATAAACCACAGAACTTATTGGATCTGATGAAAGTTTTGTCCTTTATTGTATATTACAGATCCCTATAGGCTATAAATGCATAAAATCTGCAGAGATTCTCGTCTGTACTATCACATACATCCATACGTATCTTACATGTATGCTGCAGTGCGAATGTGTTTCATACTCTTGTGGTAAAACAGAGCAAATGACACTCGTTCTCGAGGCACAGATTCCTGTCCCCTCGACAACAATGGCATCTTATTAAATCTGTAGTCACTGGTCATGCTGAGAAAACAAAACCTGTCGCAGTATTTTTATACTTTCCATTAGAACGTCGACGATCAACGTTCATCGAACATTCATCTGTGACACTTTTCTTCGACGATATGAATACCACCGAATTGTCGACTTGGAAAGTCGAGTACTCGCTCGACCAGGAAATTATTTTAAGAGACTCAAGCCCCGTCGTGTTTATTTGTAAGTAGTGCGCAATTAATTTGTCCAGAACGAAGCGTCCAGCTATCGTCGCGAATCGTCGACTCATTCGATCCCGTATATTCACGGGAATTCGTGATCCGTTCGAATCTTCGAACTGTGAGGTAGTTGTGTTTGTGTGTGAAAAATAAGAAAAAGTCTTCGTTGCCTGGAAAACAGAGATGTAGATAGAATGAAAAGGAATGAATGTCTGAAGAAAGTAAAATGGTGACCTAAAGCGTACTCTCTTTTTTTGATAGAGGGGCTCAGTGGAAATAGGCACATGCCACGTCTACATTGATTTTTAGATGTTTCTACCATCAACAACCTACACAGTTAAAAGCAGCAGTATCTAAGGGTGTCGTTCTGAGCTTTAAATAGTTAATATGATTAAATACTTGTTCGACAAATGTCGATTCATTCATAAAGAAGTATTATTTTATTATAATAATCGAAATTTCCACGTTTAAACAATTAAAAATCACGAAATACTTTTTTTTATCTTTTATTCGTTATTCGAAACTTTTTATCTAGATAATGAGTTTGCCCATTACTGTGTGGCAGGAACCGTTTCGTAAACATAAACATATTAAAATTCCTTAACATTGAAAGTGAACAATTAACAAGTAAAATAACGACAAGTTAATACCGAAATTCCTGAGGAAATTAATTTTCCTATAAGTAGTTGTGTAAACTTATAGTATTGTAGCCTTTGCCCCTTTTCTACTGAGACCCTCAATATCTGACAGCCAAACGAGCAGTATAGTTATTATACGTCTATGGAACCAACGATGATCCCGGACGCCGTGTAGGATCGCGTTAGAAAATCATTCGCGTACTTATGAGACTAGTCCCCGTTTTCAGGGCCCGTTACGACAACGTGTCGCATTTCCGTAGATTGGGTAGCGCGAGGTCCAATTATCGCGACCTGTTCGATGAAATCGGGGATTTTCGCGAGTACCATTTCCCCACCATAGAAAAATCCAAACTGTACATAATGATCGTTCGAACCTGCCCGCGTAGAGAATGAAACTCCTTCTAAGGATGAATCCATGTTCCGGGTTCGATCGTTCGACGCCTCGTGATTTAGGATCGCGCTAGAAAATACGTATGTACAACGAGACTCATCGACATGTACCAACTGTGTTGTATTTAAATCTAGACACATTTTAGCGATTTTAGTCGATCGTTCAGAGAGCATTGATAATTTGCAAATAAACATCTGTGAAGTATTTCTACATCGGACGAGTTCGAACTTCGTACAATTTGCATCTTGATATCCCTCTTTGTCTGGAGAATAGGGTGACCATTCGTCCTGGATTCTAGCTCTGCGTCCCACATTGGTACACGTTTTTCTATTGTATTTGTATTTGTTTCATGAAGTGTAATTTTTATTTTTTTTATTGTAAAATTACCCCTCCCCCTTCCTACCGGGCTTAATGTTCCGAATTGCACCGCAGAAAAAATGGTCACCCTATTGGAGAAAAGTAGTTAATCCTTAAAAAGCAATTGAACACGTTTAAAGATTTATTTATAATAGGTAAGTTTATTCCCCATATAGCACATGACGCCTTGGAGACGCCCATTTTACAACTATTTTAGGTCCAGGGCGCCTTTTGGGCCTCATCTGCTATCTGGGTCTTAAATAAGTTACATGTACAGCAACTTGAAATTTTTTTCTTGACTAAGATTTCTGAAATGATTTTTGATTACTTATTATAGCGTACTTGCGATAGTACTTCAAACTTGTTGACTAAGATTTCGGTTTATTAATAATTATTAGATAATCGATTCTTTCAGTGTGCTCGGTACATTCTGAGTCACGTGTGTACAATATGGCGGCTGAAGGAAGGTTGAACGGTGGAAAATCGTGAATGATTTCTCCATTATAATTGCAGTTATCGGTATAACAATGAAGAATTATTATCGTAATGGCACAATTTGCGATGTTAAATTATTCAATTACATGATAAATGAGACTATTTTCCTATAAAACGTGACGACTATTGTCTTTTGCGTTCTCGTTATACGCCAGTGGCTTTGGATAGTGAACTGTTCAGTAGTTGGCACTTCGTAAGCGGTACTGGTCTGTATTTTCTTTTAGTTAAATGCATCTGTAAATACTTTTCTCGTTCTGTTCTTCTCAACTCTGCAAAGATTTCTTTAACCAGAATTTTAGAAAAATAAATTTTATCTTCACCATTTCCCACACAGCATATGACGCCCAATGACGCCTTGAAGACGGCTTGAAGGTGCCTTAGACCTAAAACAGCCGTAAAATGGGGGTCTTCAAGGCGTCATATGCTATTTGGGTTTCGAAGACTATTTTCTCGTAGTCGGTCGATGACTAAAAAGTTTCACAGTGGATATCTACTATCTTCTACTAATTAAAAGAATTCAATTCTTATGGAATAAGAGTATACTAATTCATTATAATCGTGGCAATGAAATCAGAACTAAAAGATTCAATTAACAAAATAAAGTTGACCCTTAACTACAGACGACTCGTCTCAGAGACGAGTCTGAATCCCTTTCTTACTATCAGGACCCAGTGGAGAATTTTGGAAGCTATAGCGTTCGAGTATCTACAAGTGACAGTAAGTAAAACACTATTTCTATAACGGTAATGGAAAATAACATTCAGTTGGTTATTAAAAGTCTTATCAAACTAGGTCGTTAAATATCGTTGGGTTTAAAGTCTCGCAAGTGCCAGAGCTACTGAACACTCCAAGGTGCGTATATCACAAGACTCGGCGTTGGATTTAAAAGTATCCTTAAAATAGCGTCTAGAAGTAAACACTGAATAGGAACACAACTTATCAGCCATTCTCGCTCCGCGTATCGCTAGACAGGAACAATATTAAAAAATAAACTCTTAAAATACACAAGTAAAATACAAAGAGTAACAGTAAACGCGAATGTGAATTCGGATCCTCGGTATATATCACGAATTCGCATAACATCGTCGGGCTAATGTGCTAGAATTTTACCTATCGTTAGACGAAACGCGATCCTTCGCCTTTTTTTTTTTTTTACCTCATCGCGTTCTCTGTTAAAATACCCGGAATGAATTAGATAATTATCGTTCGCAAGATTGGTAATGCCGTGGTCGTTCGAACTCTGATTTTTGATGAGATGGTAACGACCAGAAGTTCTGGTCTTTCCCGAAATCCTCGCCCTGGTTGATGGTCTGAGGAAGATTGTAACCAAGAGTTTCCGGTAGAAAGATGACAAACACGGCGCCCATAAAGGACACTGCGCTGATTATCAGCATTGGAAAACCTTCCCAAACTTTTGCCTGGTCGAACAAAAATTATAGAACTTATTAATGACTACGGAAGTACGTAATGTAAAATGTCTAATTCAATTCGTGACTTTCATTTTGTCGTCGATAATCTTCGTGCACGGTTCAGTAAACTATTGTATCGCTATTTCTTCGTCGAATCGTTTTACTAATTTCTATAATGAAAAATATAATTAAGAATCATATATAGGCTTTGGGTAAAATTAACCCCGAACAGTGCACGAGGGTTGAATAAATAAATTTGTACGCGGAAGAGACAGAATTATTTACCGAGTCGATTATATAAGGGGCTAAAGTGTGCGCAATAATGCCGAAAATATGGATCAGCGATACACCCTGTGATCTAACAGGTGTCGGCAAGAGTTCCGCTGCGTATTGGAGGCCAATGTTCGCCGCCATGTTGAGACAGAATCGTGACATCACTGACATCGCCAATTTCGCGGCCGCTGGAAAAGTGAATTCGAAAATAGTACATGAAATTCAACTAGAATCTTATTCTAAAAATATTATCGAACAATTATCTCTTACTAATAGAACCCTGTCAAAATTTCAGTAAATCCAAACGATAAAGTATTCGAAAGCCTATTCCTATCCCCCCGTCAATTTCAATTTACCGCAACGCCATGTTTACGTGAAATGACGGGAAGACATGTCGAATTCAAATTAAATTCACGGACGAATTCCTCGGTACGTCTGATATTTTGTGTTCTTAAGCTTGGTAATATCGGGTCGAATCACTAATAAATTTCGTTGTACACTTAGAAAATTCTCTGAATAATAATTAACTATCGAGAATAAAGAAGAAAAATGAAATTCAATTAGATTCACTTAAATAATGGTCGAGAATGTGCCATAAATTTAATGTTAACTGGAAAGCATCTTGGACTGCATGAATTTCAGCAAAGGGTACGGAAGTTATTTTTTACTGAATCTAATAGTTCGATGCTTGTCGATGTTAAAGGATTTTTGATATCTATAACATGCTTTACGCTTACTGGATTGTAGTATGAGCTCGGCAATGCTGAGGAGGCAGGTGATCGCCAGCGTGAGAAATCCACAGAGTCTACGGCCCCATCGGTCCAGCAACAGCGTCAGCAATAAACCAGCCGGAAGTTCCGTGGAACAAGCGATGGAGAACGACATGAACACCGAACTCTGAAGAAGCTTCAACGAGTAAATATGGCCGTCGAACGCGATCACTGTGAGACACCTGCAAATACGATACAACGGTCATTCTGTCGATCATTCTATTGTTCGCTACAGACTCCTCTCGATTATCGTCCCGAAGCGTCAGGACAATAATGTTATAGGGAGAAATGCTTCAGTGATGCAGTGGTTGGGATAACGCCTGGACAATAATCGTGTAGAACAAGCCAGACGATAATCGAGAAGAGTCTGTATAACGGTTTTTTTCATTGTACTTTCCAGAATAGAGCCAGAAGGATGGTGTTTCTTGCCAGTCGGGGTGTTTTGAAGAGATCGAACACCGTCGCGGTTTCACGGACCCTGCTTGAAGTTTCCAGATTTCCCTGAAATAATTATACTACTAGCCTGAATTCAAAAAGGTATCGAACGATTTATTTTTACAGCACCATTTCGGATTTTATTCAAATTTGAATGGGTTGTGGTCCTTAGCTATATATGTATAAACGTATCGTGAAAGATTTTTGAAAATTTAGAAAATTATTGATTTTACAACTTTTTGAAATTTAGGATCAACCTTTTTTCCATATATTATAACTATTGAACTAACAAACTAATCAAAATGAGCTTTGTGGGTACTCACAGTGGAGACAACAACGTACCAAATAAAAATTCTTTCAGTTAAATATGTTTTAACCACTTATTTTGCAATTATTTTAAACAAATGCCCTGTTTTTATAACAAAGAACTATTTAAAAATTATTTCTTAAAAATTAATTTTTAATTAATCATTTTTTTAGTTAGAATTTCTCGCAGGGCATAACTATACCAGAAAGAACTTACTTAGGTTTTGCAGGTATTAATCGGTTTCACGCCGATGTTAATAGAAGGAATAAATTGTCCTTTCATTATTGTTTTTGAATATTAGAATATGAATTTTTGTGAGCATAATTATAGAGAGGAGATACTGCATCGATAAATGAATAGGTTCTTTGCAATATTCGATGATGTTCTCTTTGATTAATGGGTAGGTACTCAAGAACCTAGTAATAATTGAATGTCACTGGATCATAGAAACATTATTACTGAAAATATTCTATTGGCGTTGTTCGAAACAATGATCTATATACACTTACAACAAAAACTTCGTAGATGCGCGGATCCGGCTTCCTCTGGTTGATCCTGGCTATTCTTCGCAGTTTCTCAAGAACCTTGTCCATTTGCCCGTTAGAAACGTACCATCTTATACAAAGGAAATTAAATATACATTTGTATTCCATTTAGAGAAATCAGCTAAACAATCTAAGGGATGGACAGTTTCAATGGTCGAAAGTAAATAATTCGCTTACCGGGCACTCTCTGGGAGAATCCATGGCGTGATGAACACAGACAGGAGGGGCAAGGCGCTTACGTAAGTGAAATATCTCCAGTTTGAAATATAGTAGGCTATCCAGGGCAAAATGGTGCTGGCTATGGCGAAATATATACCGAACGCGATATTAACGACTAGGGTGCGCTTCGAGACTGCCATATACTCCAAAACTGTAAAACAATTAATTGTTGAATTATTCTGAAAAAAAAAAAAAATAACACCATCTCCGAAACGGAAAAAATTGCGTTCGATTAAACAGAGGCAATTGCATCACTGGCCTGTCCAAAACAACCGTCTTTCGCAAGATCCAGCCATTTCAGGTGTTATCGTTGCAATTGTTTACGTTAAGAGTGCGTTGATCTCGCGGTAATTTTAACCGTTTAATCTTTCACGCAAACAGAATCGTCACTCGTGCTAATTCGACCTGTCTGGTCGAACTCGACGGGGTTTTCGATTTCATTCAGACTCTCACCGATTATCAGGGGAATGTTGATACAGTTGTCGAACGCCAATCCGGTGATGAACCTGCTGGCCGAGAATGTCCAGAAGCTGTTCGCGTTCGCGGTCGCGATCGAGCTTAGAAGGGCGAGCCCGTTGCAGATCATCAGCGCAGGGATGCGACCCTTGTGATCGGCGATCCAACCGACCAGGAAACCGCCCACGATCGAACCGCAGAAGAAGATCGCCTGGGCCGTTGACACAAGGTATTCTCGCTCGCATACCCAATCTAGCTAATCACGAAGCCGTAAGGTATCAATGACGAGAAGAATTATTAGAAAATGTATATTTTTCCTTTTTTTTTTTTTGTTTTCCTCGGATCTCTACAGTCCCTGGCCAAAAAAAATTGAGCCACCCATATTTAAAAGGCCAGAACGTAATTTAAGAATAATTTTTATTGACTACTAAAATATGTATATACGTATATATACGCACTTTAGTATTTAATACAAATTATTATTAAAATATGTTCTGACCTTTTAATTCTACAATTACCGCGAAAAGTTTGGAAAATTATGTGTGGCCCTAATTTTTTGCCCAGAGATTGTATACTGTTTTAAATATATATACACGGGAATCAGGAAGGGTTAATAATAAAATCAATTTCTTAACTAAAAAATGACATCTGTATACACCGAACGAACGTGTAACAAGTTAAGCGTAATAATTCTTCGAAAATTAATTGCTTTAGCATTTTCGGTCACACCGAACGACGTAGTCCATTTATGAATGTCTCTACATTTCTTTTTTTTTTTTCATTTTACGTTGGTGAACTGTGGAAAACAACATTCTCGTTTGATTAATATGTAATCGTAAAACTGATATACGACTTGTAAGTGTTTGGCTGAGCAGTACAGGGGAAACAATAAAACCAATGGGTAAGATAGTTCGACAGTGTGACGAAAGAAAAACGTGATTAAATGTACTGCCTCTGTGGGCATGAATGAGAAACAAATATCATATAACTGTACGCTCTTTCGTAATCGATATAATTTGAATATTATCGAAGATAATAACTCGTGCTGCCCGGTGTAGACATATTTTCAAATGATGAGTGAACTCGTCCGCCCCGATTATCAGTTTAAATACGGCTACAGAAATATTAATTTACAGAAACATCCATAGATCAGAAAGCTTAGGAACGCAATATCAATTTTCAATATAATTTAAAACCATGAAGTTTCAGTTTTCGTGTTCATTCTGTCGGTTGTTTAACACTCTAATTTTACAATTACTGAAATTATAATTAGTACTTTTAACTAAATTTATTTTAGCTTTTAATTTACTATACATTTCATGCTATACTATACCTATATTACTATGTTATACAATTTAATTTAGTAAACACTCAATGCTCATTTCTAGTGTAAACACTTAACCGAAGGATAATTAACCTCTTGAAGGATGCTGACACGTATGTGTACGTTTAGTTTTTTTTTTAATCGAAGTGTCATTCGGAATCTGTAATTAAATATTTAATAGGAAGTTCCCTAACAGAAAAGGATACTCTACCAATTGATTGTCGTTAATATTTATAAATATATTTTAACTAAATACAGCCGAGGGATAAGGAAAATATTCTTTCGAGTCTTACTAAATTCGTCCCTGAAGAGGTTGATCTAATTACGAAACATGAAAAATATTCGAAAGATACTTCACCTCAGTACCCACGCTGGCGTATGGGATCTGTGTATAATTATACTCCCAACTGGTGCATGGGGTGGTTCGATTGGCCCATAATTGAACTGAACGCGGATCCTCGCCGGACTTTAGAAGCTCCGTGAAGTTCACGTCCTTGCGGAGACACCGATCGTAATAAGGATACTCGTTCGACGGTGGAATTGCTATTTGAATCCTAAACATTACAATAAATCAGAACTTTAAGGAATGTCATTGTTAGAAATGGACTTAAACTACTTTTAAAAAAAAAGAAACGTTTATGCAATTCCCACTGGACAGTCAAACGTCTTTCGACTAATTCGTGAGAATATTGTTACATATTTAGGGAAGACTCGGGACAAACGACATACGAAAAGGATGTAACAATTGTTATAAAACAATTGCCAATGGACCAACAATCGTCTCCTTCCATCTTTATGCACTAATTTCATTTGCCTACCGCCTTAGTTGTCCCCAAGAGGCAACAGTAAGTAATTTTCTTAATAAGACTATCCTATTGGAATAATATACCAAAAGTAAGTTTATATTTTATCTTTTAATTGTATATGTATCTTTCTGTTTCAATTCCATACAATACTTTGCAATTTTTAGTATTATGTTTATGTCTATCTATAGAATAAATAAAACCTTTCTATTAATTGTTTCTTTTCAAATTAGATACGGTGTTGTAATTGTCTCTAGGGGTAAGGACAAATTGAACAAAAGAATTTGTAGAAAATTTTACAAAATGTAAAAGTTGCACACTCAGAAAGACAAATTATTACATTTGTCCCTGGTTCCTCTAATTTGCCTTTCTTATTGTAAACATAAAAAGAAGACACGATCATCATCCATCCACAGGTGAAAGTGGCTTTAACTAATTTTTTACACCACTTTAATAACAAAACGGCTTACTTAATGACACCGGAGAAAAAAATATATATATATATATAATTGTTAAGAATATTCTGTTCCTGACATGTTTCATTCCAACAATTGAATTTGATCGAAAGGAAGCCCACCTGTCCTCCTGGGTGAAATTCGAGCCCATCAGCTCGTCGATTTTGCACCAATGTTCCGCTGGTATGATCGTTATGAAGAACTGCGAGAAATATAGAAACGCGTAAATCATTCCGTAGGGCAGCAACGAGAACAGAAGCAGCCATTGGTATCTGCCGTAATCGCCGACGTACGGCAAAACATCGTCGAACGTTTCCAGTTTCGGCCTCAGTGCCGTCCGTTCGGTCGGCTTTATGGAATTGCTCAAATTCATCGCGTTCTTCATCTCTCTACAACAGAAAACGAAAAATTATTCCCTCGAACCGACCGAATTTCGAAGAACTAAATTCCCTCTAAAACGTTGCTAATCAACACATTTCGAATTCAACTTCAATTTTACGATTAGACCGCAGATATTTATGCATTTTCAGCAGATTTTCAACTGCAGAACGAAGTATAATATAAAATTTAACACTCGAACCACCGAAGCAATCAAAATGCCTCGTTAGAACATTCTTATACCGATGATTAAACTGTTACAACAAATATAATTTTCTTGGATCTTTCGCAATTTTCATTGGAATATAACAAATGGCGAAATTAATGTATAAGTTGAAATGTCTTTAAAAGTTCGTCATATTTATCGAGCCGATAGAAATAGATATAAATTTATCATCGATAGTTTTATTGTTCATAAAGCCTGATAAGATTTACGTGTTATTACAAACATAATAAAGCATTTAAAGCCTGAAATCAATTCTACCTGATTCGAATTTTTGACTTAACATTCAAAATCTGCGAATTGACATAAACATCCGCAGTCTGGTTACGATCGTTACTAAATTCAGCGCTGATCTATCAAGGTGATCTAACGGATCTTTCAAAATATATTATCTTTTATGTGGTAATTACTTATTAACTCATGCGTTTATTAAGCTCACAAGAAATGAATAGCTGGACAGAACGAATCCAGGTTATCATTGTTTCTCTCGTTTGCTAGAGACTACACGTCACAGAATTGGCATTAGTTACACAAATATATCATTCGGAGCACGGTTCAAAGATACGAATAACAGATCAGCCATTTATTTCTCACCAGCTAATAATAATTATTAATAGGTGAAGGGAGGGCCCGATAAAATGTCCAATACAATTTATTCTCGCGACCAAGAACACTAATCTCACCGAGCAGTCATCTCTCGCGGAAATCCGATCGACCAACGTTTGAAAAGTGTCTTTGGCCGAAGAAACGTATTTTCGGTCCGGTTAGAAGTTCAAACGATAACAATTGACTGGAAACACTGTGGACCAAAGTCCAGCTCGAGACTGTCTCGTTCCTTTCGTTTTCCGATCGTCTTAAACGATACCGTTAACTGCACAACGTAAGCGTCTCGTAGTGCCGTCCAATTGTTGTGTGCCTGGGATCAAGTGGTTTGTGACACGCGACTACGTTGGAATTGAATTGTAAACGTGCCACGGCGCGGCGTCGCGACCAATGTGTCCCGACCGATGTCGATGAATCGAACGACGCGAGTGTCGGGAGATTGCTCGGAGTAGGGATTATTCGGAACGTCGGTTCTAATGTTAATGATACCGTTACCGATCAATGGAAGAAACCATCAAATCGACACCGGCGTCTAGGGGTCACGAGTCGGAGGATCGTGTGATAGATCGAAGGATTAACGGGGAGAGAACACTTGTCCGAAGTAACATACCGGGGATTTCATTACATTGTCAATATTTACGTCGTTAAGGAATTAATAACACTGATTTCCTCTAGTTTTTAATTGTTCTGTAACTTCATTATATTTCGAAACTGAGAAAAGTGAGTTTAATGTTTACGAGGTTTAATATTGTAGAAGCAGGAAAATAGTGAAATAATGAAACAGACTGTAATATCATTTACAAAATGGCTATTTGTTACGATATTTAACAAAATTTTATCTTATTGGTTACTTTCCGAATATTATACGTCGAATTGAGCGACACACGATACTCTAATTGTTTCGAACAGTGTACAATGATCACTTATCAGCAGAACAACCTGTTACTATTAAACATCTACGTCTACCACTCTGAATCAAATAACAAAACCATCATTCCCAAATCGTCGAACCACAGAACGAACCCTATTCTACGATCCCATGAACCGAACACGCGTTAATGTCTACGAGAAAAAGGAACAGAACCACACCGATACATATCGATCATTTAGCTCCAACAACAACACAACTAAAAATTACCAATTTTTGAGTTATCAGTATAGAAAAGAAAACATTTACTGTTTCTACTTTCTATCGGTTAAATCCATGAAGTGAGCTTCGAAAACTCACCACGTCACTATAATATCATTAATTCGTACAAAACAATACCGATCGAAACATTCGAACTCGAATAGTCCTAAAATCGTGATTGTTCGTTACGTCGTTATCGCCAACAAATGATACATCCAGAACGAAACAGTTACGTTCACGAACACCATCTTAAAACCCTTACGGTTCTCGCTGTCGACGAATCGGTCCTTGAATCTTCAAAAGGATCTTTCACCTCGACGTATTAATTAGACACTCTTGTCGGCCAGGCCCCTTAATTCCCGGGGTAATTAACACTCGATTACGCAACGAAACGCGACGAAAGCGTTAACGATCGAAGTGCACACCTGTCGACGAAGATGGCAATCCGCGGGAAACGATAACGAACGTCGTCGTTTAATTAGTATCAATTGGCGCCCGACACCAGACGAAACGTCTCCGGGTAAATCAGCGTGGTCGTGTTGGTTCGGCCGGCCGACGGAGAATTTTCCCGTCGTCAAGCGAACCGTTGAGTCTCCCCTTCTTCAACATCGACGCGTCCCGTCGTCGATGAACGAGGATCGGCTAATTAGAGGGACGATCGAAGCTTATGAAATCTGAAGAAACTCGCGCGCAAGATCCGACTGTCGCGAGGCCTTGCAGCGATATGACGGGGAGGCACAAATCGGCTCGAATGTCGGTGATATAGAAAGCTAGACAGGCGAAGACAGACGCGATATTCGATGACACGCGCGTGTGTGTGGTCGCCAATAAGAGAAAGATGGTGGAAAAAAAACGGGGAGACAGAAGGAGAGGAAGTAGGTGTCCTCCGGGGTGTGTGGCGGACCGGCAAGTAATTTCGCACGCGTCTCGTATCGCGACCCGCGGGGACCACGTGTTCACCAATGCCACCGTTCCGGTCACTTTGGTCCCTGTTCGTTCGAGTCGTGTTAGTGTTCTTTTCCCGTTTTTGGGGAAACGGTATGTGTGCATCATATTGAGATACGGAAGATGAGATTGGGAAAGGAAAGGAGGACTGTCAGGTGGAGATAAAGTATATTAGTACGTTCGAATCGAACTGGATAGTTTCGAACATTCCATAAATAGTTCAAAAAAGTAAAGCGATATTTTTTCGACTCGAATCCAAACGGAACAGGTTCGACGCAAATATACTCGAGCCCTCGTCGAGTAGGTTCGAGACTTTTATGAGTACAGACTCATCGCGATTATCGTCCCGAACTCAGGTCCACGCTGAGACAATAATCTTGTAGGGAGAAATGTTTCAGACCTTCGTAAATTCTTTTCTTGCCCGAAGCCCGAGCCTCGGCAATAAACGTGGAGGGGCAAAAAAGTATGCGTTTGACAGATTCCCCACCTCCCTGCGGTGATTGGGATAACGCGTGGACAATAATCGTGTAGAACAAGCCAGACAATAATCGAGAGGAGTTTATACTTCGATCAGAAGTTGTCTATTCTTTGCAGTTGTATGTTGGTTTGCGAAAATTATATATAAATGGTCCACATTACTTTTATTTACCCATATCTTTTTTAGCAAAATTAATTCGTTAAAAGTTAAATGCCCGATACAATGAATGACAAAATAACAAAATTTTAATTATCAATGCAGTGGGGTATACTGCAACGAACGATGTTACAACGAACGAATATATTGTGAAATTACAAATGCAAATAAATACGATCGGCCATTCTGCCGGTTGTCCCAGTCCACCTTCATTACCACGATAAAGAAACAACTGACGATGTTAAAAGTCGTGAATAATATTAGAGCAGTGATGGGCAACCCAGCGACCGCCAAACCAAGAATGAAAATTTCGACGAGAAATGTATGAAACTATTCGATATGAAGCTTTCAACATCGTACTGAAGATTTACAAGTTACACGAAGAAATTAGTCAATTTCTCTAAATTTTCAAAAGTTTTCCACGTTTATCCACCGATCGAAGAAAATATGCGTTTAACGTCGGTAGTTCTAGTGTTAAATTCGACTGTTCGAGTCAATTTTAGTTCGCTCGAAACTATTTACATAACATTCAACGCGACAGTACGATAACAACATATACTCAACCTTGATCCATCGCATGTTCCCACGTGTCTGTCCATTTAAACCGGAACACCGAACAGCAAAAAAATGGTGATAATTCACTGATAAGGTCCAGTAACGTAGCGGGATTACACGAATGACGAATGAATGAAGGGAAACAGGCGCCTCGGGTTCTTGATATTTCTTAGCTTTGGATCGAGAAATTTAACGGTCCGCGACATTGAACGTCGCGTACTATTTCAGCGTGTTTCTTCCGTCCACGTTCTGGCACCGTTCTCGATCCGCGACGGCATTGACGCCCCGCGAATGATATACAATTACACTGTTCCGGTGTCTATAAATAAATTTGAAACTAGATATATAGTTAACGTCTCTTGACGCTATTTCGATCGACCTACACGGGTCACGCACAATAGAAAGCTGACGTGAGACGACCTCATGAGGCCAACCCTCGAGGTAAACCTCACCGTGTATGGCCTGCTTAACTGACGTTCGCGTAATCCCATCTGGAACCATTACTCGTTGATTCTTCTTTAATAATTCCCATGTGCCCGTTCGTACAGCAGAACTGCAATTTTAATTAGAAGGATTCCGTTGAAAACACGACAGGAAATTCCATACAATCATTATTTATCGGCTCAACATCTCCCTGTGAACGTCCGAGCAGTCCTGGCTAGTTCGCTGGAGAACAAATAGAAAAAAGAAGCGAACCTTGGACCATAATTACCATCACAGAGAAATCCGCGATGTCGAACCTTTTTAATTACGTATCTTTATCTTTCAAACAAAAAGATTCTGATTAAATCCATTCCGTGGGACACTCAAACTTTACTTTCCGTGTTCTACACTTAACGTCCTTCGTTTAATAGTCTAATATCTGTGAAATGGGTCATCCATATTTTGATGGTGAATTTGAGATTCCTCGTATTGTCTGCAATCACCTCTCAGAAATTTCATATTTAATCGTAAAATGTCTTTTGTTATCATATCAAAATCCCTCGATGTTTCCCTCGTGTAACGATCGATCTATAATTTAGATAAGTTAGTCAATCCACTAGGTGACATTATTAATGGTAATATCGAGTGCCACGGTACGGCCAGACTAATCTTCTACGTTACGAGAGCAACGGACACTACGGTCTCGAACTGAACATTACAGACTTCCCCGATTTGCATACGTCCCGGTACGTCAAGTAGGCAAGTTTAATCCCGGGCATTATCCTACGAACGATCTACGGTCTCGACAAGCCTCTCTGTGAACGCAGCTAACGCTGTTTGCCACGAAGCAATGAAACAATCGGCCCCGCATCCCGTTACGACTCGCCAGAACCCGCGAACGTTAAATGGTAACGAGAATGTCTTAACTAACCGACTGAACTATGGTTGGTAAGAAAAATATCGATGTGGTAGAAGAATCTTGATTACTCAGACGAATAGGGAGACAAATCCATTCTGATAAATGGATGTTCCCGGTACACATTTCGTCCAGGACAGTGTTTCATCTCGATATCTCCCAACATATAATAGTAGACCAAGTTCTAAAAAAAGTTTAAAATTAACAGCTTCTTCGAATAAAAAAGGTACATAGATAAAACTGTTATCGATAAGGTGACGAATGTCAATGATTTCCTAATTGCCCCTCCCCCCTAATATTTAAATTGCCCTTCGATGGGACGTACGCCCCACATTGGGAAACACTGGTCTAGAACAGGGGTCGGCAAACTACGATCCGCGGGACAAGTCCGGCTCACCGCCTCTTATTGTACGACCTGCGAGCTAAGAATAGATTTTACAATTTCAAAGTACGCGCTGTAACTAGTGCTTAGCTATAACGCTCTTAGTGGCTAAAATATTTACTATTTGGCCCTTTACAAAAAAAGATTCTCGACCCCTGATCTAGAAGATCAACAATTTCATATATGTATTAATAAAAAGTATCGTCTTTGTCCATTCGTTCTGTGTTCCAGTAATTTGTATTTAGGAGTTTCCGATAATCGATGTGCTGCTGTAACTCTTGTATGTCCGCGCAGGCTCTTGCTAAATGCCTCCTAGGAGAATCCTTCAAGGAGAACCAAGGGATCCCGATGTCTTGAACGAGAGGATCCACAAGGTTCTCCTAAATGAGTGCAGCAGACTGTTGGGTGTACCAATGAGTGTATTAGGTCTACCAATAAGTAATTCACTATGGTACCCATGTGGTATATTATATAAAATATCCTTCCAATCTTCCGTTTGGTCAAAACGACAGAGGATGACGGGAACAAATAGTGAATACTATTAAAGCAGAATAGATGTTTGAATGATGTCGTGAATATAGAGTTTCACAAAGGAAGAATTGATTACTTATTGATACAACTAACACTATTTATCTGATAGGGTAACAGTATACAATCCTGACAAGCTGACAGGATTTCTTATACGTGTGCAAAACGTTATTCCACTATTGAACGTCAATTGTATGTCTTAAGCTGTACAATTTATTCCGGCAGTTCCATAATACACCGCGGAATTACAACGAGAGTTTGAAGGCTGACGCTAAGAGACGAGCTGAATATTGAGACCTATCTTCTCTATGTAAGAACGAATGTTACAGGTATAATCGTTGCTGATTACATACTCCGTCTTATGTTTCTTACATATATATTTCAAAGTTTCAGGTTAAAAGAGGTTGACGATTTAAATCGAAATGTGTATTTTCAAAACGTCACTAGTTACCCCAGCGACTACTCTCGAAGGATACGAAATGTACAATACGCGATCGTCATTCAGATTTTCAATTTTTCTCCACAGGATCGCTTCATCCTCGATTCTATACCTCACCACTAAACCTACCACGACTGGTCAAATCATCGATTTTACCGTTCTAATTTCTGTCTTTTTGAAAGCTTCGGTGGGTTTAGTGATAAATAAAGGTATAAACAATGAAGAATTCACTGTCTGGACACGTGTATCGTCCACTGAAGTAACTAGGGCTGCATCGAAGAGGGTTGCTCGGAGCCCGTTCTATCAATGATCCACGAATGGAAATTACATACGATAAGAGAATACTGGTGCAACGAACTGTCGCGTCAGACGCAAAGATGATCCTCATTTCTATGCGTGTTCATCGAAAGACATGTGTCCAGACAGTTTAGAGGCGGTCCCTAATGGTTCTAGTCTTGGTTTCGTTAAAAATCGGTCACGCTACAGTCGGAAACCGTTCGCGCGCGCACACCGTGTCCCGGGCGGACACCTAATATCGACCTAGGACATTTTTACGTATAGATACCAGGGACCCAGGGTCGCCAACGTCGACCGAATTCATTTCAACCTCGATCCCTCGCGTCCGCTCGAAACGAAGGTTGCGCAATTTACAATTTTATATGGTCGATGACGTAACGCGGGCCAAGGAAAAAGATTTCCATCGTGAAAAGGTTCGCTTGATCGTCGCCGCTGAAAAATTCCCCGTTACGAAGGATAAATAGGGCAGCGATCGAGTGAAATGTTTACTTTTCATAACGCCGGGACCGCAGCAGTTTCAAAGCGGCCCCGTGGGGCTACGAAACGACCAGTGCACCTGTGCAAGCGTTCCGATAACGTGGAAACTTGCCTGAAGATTTACGCCATTGTGATTCAACGCGCTTTTCGTTTTCACGGCGTCAAACGATCGCATGGAATATGATATCTGGGAAACGTAAAGATTCATATTGAACGGTATTACGTACAAAATGCTACATTCCTGCGTAAGTTCTGTCTTAATATAGAGGTACTGGTTCTTACAAACAAGCTGCTCGGATAGTGTAAACACCGGCATCAAGGGTCAGAACCTTAAGATAGCAGCAGCTTCTGTTCCGTAAAACCTTCTTATTTCGGTCTTCTTACCGCTACAAGATCTACAATACTAATTTATTAACACAACACAGAACTCACAAACCGTGATCTAACTGTCTACTAAGCTATACTTAATACATTACGTTTGAATTTTAAATAGACAACCGTTGAAGAAGTTCATCCAATATCCCTAACGGTAGAGATCTTCCTTGTCGTCGAATAAAGTGACTATGTAGATTTATGGCTGTGTACACACGATTAACGACGGTCCATCTGCACTGATCCTTTAAAACGGCTCAAAGGGCTCAAAAGAGTCACTGCTACTCAATCGACACATGGAATCGGGTGTCACGTATAGATTATTACCATCCACGATCGTCCGAACCGTTCCAATATCCGTGAACTTGGACGACATTATTGGTTCCGCTCGACCGTCGATGGGGTAGAGGATCTTATCGATCGAGATCAAAGCGATTGAGATTTTCATCGCGAACGCCTTCGCTACAATCTCTCCACCTCCGTGGTCGTGTTGCCGCCAGTCTCGATCCTCGACCTCACGCTCGATCTTCGTATCATGCTGCTCCTTAACGTCTCGCCGCGAATCGAAGCTCTCATCGTGTTCCTCACGCTGCCTCGGGAGAAGGTTTTGAAGGTCGGTGGTTTTTCCACGTCCTCGGGTTTCCTGGGAAACGAATCGAACTGTAATGGTTGGTCCCAAGAACCGTGGGAATCCTTCCCGACAGATAGAGATCGAACAAGACAGTCCGCCCGATTGGATGACCCCAAATCGCACATGGACTGAAGTTGTCATATCGTCGTTCGGATTGTAAACTCGCGAAATTGTGATTCATTTTATTTCAGCCTTTCATTCTAGAAGTGATGTGAGTATATAATTTCAAGAAAACTCTATGATATGATTGCTATGGTTAAAAATAGATACGAATAAATTACAAATAAGTAAATAGGAAAAGTGGACTTGCATCACTTTCAATATGAACATCCTCATTTGTTTCTCATTAGAGTAAAGTCGCCGTAACTGCGCGAAACTCGGGACAGCATGCGCGCAGTAAGCGTCGACAGTGTAAAAAATATTTTCTTATCAACGTTCGTCGATCATTCTCCGAAATTACCTTCCGATGCAAGGGAAATCCCACATTTTCTGATCTTTCCCGAAGTTCTCGCCGTCCTGCAATGTCTGCGGAAGATCTTTATCCAGCGTTTCCGGCAGAAACAGCGTTACGAGACCGCCAGCGATCCCGATTACACCTAACACCAACAGAGGCAGCACCGGCGAGACGATAGCGAGGTACACGACGAATGGGGCCAAAATGCTCGCGACGTATCCCATTATGTGTATCAACGCTACGCCCTGCGCCCTGACGACCGTCGGGAGCACTTCCGCCGCGTACTGAAGACCAATATTGTACGAGATGTTTATCCAGAAACGACCGAAAATGGCCAGCGTCGCCGAGTAAATGTCTGAAAACATAGGATAATCGATAAAAAAGAAAGAAATCTTCGAAACATCAGCCCAAGATTTTATAATTAATCTCCAATAATTTATCGTTTAATTTTACGCGTCGATGATTCGATTAGCAAGAAAAAACAGAAGATACCTATCATATGTCGCATATCAACTAGGTACCTTGCAAAACACGCGTTATACGATTTATTTATTATTAGAATGTAGTACAGGAGGACATGTTTTTTTTCTACTCTATCGATCGATTTATTCTTAGACGAAAATGTAAACAACCGTTATTTAAATTGTTCCGCGTAATTTGCTCGCTGCTATCGTGATATCCAAATAAGAACATTTTTACAAAACAAAAAGCTGAAATGCGTTCTGTTACTAGCAATTAATGATATATTAAGAATTTCACGTTAACCCTGGCGGTAACTTGCGACCTTTATCCCTCTGAAGGCGAACGTTTTTAATGCTCGTACAGCAGCGGTGCTTGGACCCGTTTGCACTCATTACACTTCCTATGATTTAAACATTATTTTCGAACGCAATCTATAATCATTATCAAATATATGAACAAATACGATTCATAGGGTTGATGACAAAATCCTAATCACAAAATCCAAATTACAATTACAATGTAATTACAATATAATTGTAATTTTTATTGTAAATTTAGTATAGTTAATTACAAAGTAATTGTAATGATACTTGTCTTGCAATTACATTGCAATTACATTGTAATTCTGATTTGAATTTTGCAATTACATTACATTTTGCCCAACCCTGGTTGATGAGTTAGATGGAGCTTTTAAAACCTCAGGTCCATATGGATCCAGACAACCAAGCTGTGTAAGAGTTAATTTGCTAATTAAAACGATCGCGCTGAATGCTCCATGACCTTCTGTTCACGATAATCGGAATTATCAAATGGTAAATTGTATGAGACACGAACTGTTCGAGACAGCACAGGCCCAGATACTGAAGATTCCGGAAATGACCAACGAGCCGCAGGCCAGCCATCTTCTGCCCCATCTGTCAAGGACCACCGTAAGGAGCGTGTCGGCGGGAAACTCGGTCGCCGCCGCGATCGTGAACGTCACGAAGACGTCCAAGCCCAAGTTATCGACGTTTCGCACGTGACCATCGAACACCAGAGATATCACCATCCTAGAACGGAAATTTCACGTGGTCAGAAGACGCTCGATCGCGGTGAGAAACAGAAAGTAAATCTTATTTTCTTAGTCGATAACGGAACAAGATCAAGTTCTCCAGAGACAACTATCCGTGAACCAAGATATGGTCGAAACGGTTATACTATACAGGGTGTCTCAACTGAGAGCGAACAGTATGTAAATGGTGTACATAATAAAAATTGTAACAATAAACAGACAGTTAAAAAGGTGCTGGCAGTGCTTTATAAATATCCTCCAGAAACGGGAAAAAAGTATAAAATGTTCGCAAAATAAGATATAAATGAAGGGGAGCAACAGAGCACACTTATTATTAGATTAATGGAAATCAATCGATCACCACCCATAAAGACAAAGTTTTAATTCTTTCTAGTTTCCATAGATAGATCAGAATGCTAATCTTCATCGTCCTATAAAAGAATTATTAAAGTTCTACAGGTTTTGAATTTACAGCAGAAGGACAAGAATAACCGAAATATTTTCAAACGGCATTTCTCTCGGACCATAAAATTGAACGTTACGATTTAGGTTTTCAAATATACTACTCCGAAACTCCCCGCATCGTTAAACAGGTAAAGTTTCGTTCACACCTACCATATAATGATAAATAATACCGTGATGTTTCTTAGCCGTGGTGTCCTAAACAAATCGAGTACAGAGTACGTTCTGTCCGCTTCCTCCTCTTTGCATATTTTCGCACATGTTTCCTGGGGTTTCAAAAATCAGCATTGATTATAAGTTACATATTAATTACACCAAAAGTCTTCCGTGTTTACCCGAAATCGCTTATAGACGTCTTCGGGCACTTTCGTGCCGTTTATTCGCTCGAATTTCCCCAGGATTTTGATGGCTCTGTCCACTTCGTTCTGGCTGACGAGCCATCGGGCGCTCTCCGGTATCACCCATGGCGTGACCACCGCCAAAACGAGAGGAACCGACGTCGCGATACAGGTCATCCGCCAGTCGGCCAACCAGTACGCGATCCATGGTAAAATACAGGCGGCGAACGTGAAGAACATCGCTATCGACATGTTCGCCACGAACGTACGCCATTTTGGTCCCACGTATTCCAGCACTGGCGAACGAGACAACGAATTTTTATGTTAAAAATCACTTTATAAACGGAAGTCGTCACCACTGGAAATGACAATAAATGGTAAAAAATATTATAGATGTACCAATAAGTGATTCATTGCAGTTCCAATATGGCGGCGATGTATATTTTCTTTTACCTGGAATTCCGAGACTTTCGAATCACAAAAAAAGTGAAAAGTTTAGAATTCTCAAAACTTCCTTGGATTTCAAAAGATTTCGACATTTCGAAAAATCCATCCTTGGTACATATAAAGACTCCATTAAAACACACAAAAGTTCCTACGTCGCAGTACTGAATTTATCAATCTAATATAGACAGTTAACACTAGCACGCACTATTCTGAAATTAAAAACTTGCATGTTACACACGCGATACGGAAAAACAACGGTCACGATGAACGCCGCACTTACGACGTATTAAAGGTAATTCAGTGACTAACTAAAATAATTAAAGGCTTCATTAAGTGACTAACGCTACTGCCTTCGTTAAGAACAATTATTCCCCATTTCGTGAGGAGTATAAATAGACGTAATTCCGTGGCAAGTAAATTTTACTCGTGTTTTCTATTTCTTTCCCGTACCGTTACACAATCGCCATTTTAGAGGGCAAGGGAAGGGCGCGCAATTTGAAGCCACACTGCGGCCGAATTTCGCAGAGCCGACGTCACGTGTCCGATTATCGACACGTGAAAGTCACTCGAGTCGTCGAGTTTAATCGTTCAAGGCTATCATCGTTCGGTACTGACCTCGCCACCTTCCCGTAACAAGGATCGAAGGTGACGCGTCGCGTCGCCTGATCATTGTCTTAAGGATCTCCTGGGAGTGTCACCTTCGGTCGTCAATTACCCACGACTCGACTGTTGTCATTTCGACGTCGTTAGGAAGAAATAAATTAATGACTCCTGGCACAAATCGTCATCGTGTGCGAGAGAAAAATCTACAGTTGTACTACCTTCGATTGCGTGATTTCTCGTTTTTACATTGGTCGCATTAACCTTCGTTGTTCCTTTTTTTTATTATCTTGCAATTTCTAATAGCAAACGAATAAAGTCCACGCATGGTGAATGGTGTACCATCGCAGGTTGCAAAACAAGATAATTAGACATTTTAGCGATTTCAACGAAAAACAGTGAAATTTAGATCGTTTCCGACTTCGAACAGCTTCGTCTAGGTCAGTGTTTCCGAATCTTTTATAAATCATGACAACCTGAACGCCTCAATGATCTCGATGCCCCCACCATAATAGTACAGACACCTCTCGATTATTGTCCTGAACTCGGGTTCGCGCCAGGACAATAATCTTTAGGGATAAATGCTTCAGACTAGGGTGACTTCAGAATAGGGTGAAGGTTCAACCGCAAATACCAGTATAATACCGGTATTTTACGTTTGGTTAGAAGTCCCTGCTTCAAATTGCCCCTCGATGGGGCGTACGCCTCTCACGCTGGGAAACACTGATATCAAAGTCCTTTCGTCGAGTAAAATGATGGCATGTTTACCGCACCAGGTCAATTTATCATGTCCTGTCAACCGACGAAACGGTCTGTCCGCGATTCCTCACTTACATAATAGTCAATCGATCCTACGTGTTAAACAAGTTCTTTACTCCCCGGTTAATTGTTCCAGATTACGCGGCGAACAACGAAAACGAAAAGACATTATGCTATACTCGAGGTATTCACCAACGATTCTATTTTACGAGAATAATTCGTGAAAGCTCGCGCATCACACTTCGGACGTTAACAATCGAAAAGAAAAATCCTAGAAACTAACACTTGAGAAGAATATGAAAAACCTTCTCTCGACTCGTTTCATCATAGACAGCCAAGGTTTATCGCCGCCGTGGAACGTTACTCTTCCAGAAGCGGCACTGGCTTTTCTCGATGGTGTTTTCCATCGCCGTTTGTGGAAGATATAATTCCAGTTTCGAGTCGTCGTCGACGTAACGGAGGGACCGTACAATTGGACAGTTTCTCGTCACTCGAGGATCAACGAAGTTGGAGGCAGGCTCGAGTTGCAAGACGTGTTAATAATAACCGTCGTGAAACAGAAACCGTTCTCGATCGATCAACGTACGTGTACACGCGTTCGCGAGACGCAAGGACGCGGCTAGATTTCGAAACGGTTCTCCACCTTTAAATCCTTTTCCGCCTGGCGACACGCGACCGTGCCGCATATTTCCCCGGTGAATTTTACACCTGTTCCCCGTCTATTTATCGTGCTGAAATGCACGGACGCACGCGCAGGATCTTAACGAGCCTCGTCGTCAAGCGTCGTCGGTTGATTTATCTGTATAGAAGCAGCAATAAATTACCACGGCGAAGAAAGGACTGTTCGTGACGATACGGTGATTGCTAAAGAACGAGTCCATTAACACGACGATTGAAACGCTCACGGAATTTGTACGTTCGTCGCGTTCCGTACCGTTCACCTGTACTATAAATGTAAAATGTCCGCGGTCAAGATTACATAAAAAATGGATGAAGGATAATTTCTTTATCAAACTGGTCATCTAATTCTGAGAAAATTGGATCTGACTCCGACAAACAGACGGTTCGTGAAGAATATTACCCATGGTTCTCCAGCCGACGCCATTTTCATCTGGTACAAAACCGCGGGAAAACAGGCTGAATTCAAACTGTATATACTGAAATCTTCGGTACACAAGAACATGGTAGATCACACTCTGAGTGGATCTAATGAAAATGATAACAAGGATGTATAAAAGAGAATGAATACGAAGGGGGGGAGAGAAAAGTGTCGGTTAATTTACCAGTTAAGATACGTGATATTGCGTACTACATAGACGAACGCAAGGATACTGTAACGAATAAGAAATTACGCGCTTCTTTATGGACCAAGTCCTATTCTGTGACCTCTAAGACTACGGTGTTAATAAATGTCAATTTATCTCGCAAAACAATCCAATAAAAAGGCAAAGAAGATGGAAACAGACATTCTCTGGGGCTACAGACTACGGAATAACGCGAAATGAAGTAGATTTCCACGATCTCGCGAACGGCATTCCAGCAATGAAACACCAAACTCTCTCTCTCTTACGCTCGCGTGCGATCATGAACCGTGACTCGATGACTCATCATCGAGGGGACCTGGCAAAATTTACGACAAACTCGACTGGTTCCAGTGTCGGGAACTAGGCCAAGTTGACGGTATCCGCGGTTTTAATTGCGGTGTGTGCTCGAGATTTCCTAATTGTCAAGGCGACCGTTACTCATGGATCGCGATCTTTTACGTCCACACCCCCCCCCCTCCCTTTATCACCCTGGATCGTCTGGTACCGGAAAGCCGCGAAGATTGATCGATAGGATCTAATTCGAGCGTATGCTAACGCCTAGCTCAAGAAAGTAAATCGACGATAGTGAACACGATACCGATTATTATTAACTGCTTTCGATCACGTAATAAATTACATCATCGAGGTCGTGGCCACGCTGGTATATCGTGTGTCGCGCGTTGGAAACAGTCACGCACTTAATTTTGCTCAGAGACTACATTCCACCAATCACGAAATTCCTCGATCGATGAATCGAATAATCAGGATCTGATCGCGGGAAAGCGTTTGATTCGGAGGATTTTCCACCTACCACACGACTTTCGCTGCGAGTAGACACAAGAATCGTATACTTTTTGATCTGTGGAGACATAAAGAAATTTAAAGGATCGACATAAGATACGTTAATCGTACACAAATGTGAATGACAAATACGATATTTATCAGAATTATTTTGTTTGAGTGTATGTTCGCCCTTTGTTTCAAACGTATGTGAATGGGGTTGCTGTGAAAATAAGACAATGTTCCATTCATTCTTCAATTATCAGATCGGTGCATAAAAAGTTTCAGTTACGTTGCAAAGCATCTAAATACAACAAACAGTAGATAAGAAAATGAGGTACACGAGTGAACGTCATTGTTTCTTGATGAATGAAGTAAATATCTTTCAGAATGGAACCTTCATACGCTTCGTTTACGACGTTACAATCACTTCCTGCTTCGCCATGGAGAATCCATTACAGAAACAGTAAAAATTATTTGTAAAACCTACGTAACAAAGATACTTTGCTTAAAAAATTGTAGGTCGAAATTGCTTTAAAGGATTCACAAGTGGTGGTTTTGATGCTAGCAAGCAATGTCCCTGTCCTAGTCAGGAAATGCAATATTGTATGAAAATGTGAAAGTTGAATATTCAACAATAATTCCACGATTACAAATTTGAAAAATCAGATATGAAATTGAGAAACGAGATCAGTTTTGCACCGATCTGACCCAGATAGCACATGACCGCCAATAACGCCTTGAAGACGGCTTAAAGACGCCTTAGACCTGAAATAGCCGTAAAATGGGCGTCTTCAAGGTGTCGTGTGCTATCTGGGGACGGTATGAAACTAAGGAAACATTGATTACCTAGTATGTACATCATGGTGAAGCAATTATCAAAGGCGAACCCGACAAAGAAGCGACACAACGTGAACTGCCAGAAGGACTGCGAGAACGCGGTCGCGACACCTGCTAAAAATCCCATCAGATTCGATCCTATCAGAGCCGGTATCCTGCCGTACTGATCGGCTATCCAACCGAAGATCAGACCTCCAAAGATGGCGCCGATGAAGAAAATACTCTGCGCCGCGGTTGGGAGGGCACTGTACTCGCACACCCATCCTAACTGTAACGAAGTATCAGTATTATTAACAATTTAACATTTTACATATCACTTACAATATACTTTCTTCGTATACATTTCATTCAGACAAGGTGTTCGTACACCCTCAAATCAAACCAGGCATGGTCGTTTCAAGGTTACTAGAGTATGTGACCCAATTATGGATGGTGTCCGTCTTATGAAGGATTAACTGTATTTCTATGAATTAAAAACACTGTATTTATACAACATCTGAAATAATTTGTTTTAATGAAATTCAGTTCCGTTAACAGTCGCAACGGAAGTGCTAAGAAGTCCCATATGCACGAAAGTGAAAATGAATAATATACTTTTATGAAGTAAATAAAAAGAAACATATATATATACTAAATGTTATACTTTTTTTTTGTTCGTTCGATGTTTCACTAATTTTCAATTATTCCATAAAAAAATTCTATCTGGGGATTCCAGAAAAATAAAACTTAGTAGAGAGCTTGAAGAAACCAATTATCAATAATTTCTTATTCTTTCTTAACAAAAACAAGCTCATTGGAACACTAATCTGTCCGTAATTGAGTCACTTAAACTATTCGGTGCATGTAAAAGTAATAGTTTTGAGTTGCGTGTTCGTTAAAAATTGCTGTTATCATAAATAATTACCGTAACATCAGTTACTCGAAACAGTTTATTTCATTTCATAGAACTATTAGCTATTCTTCTGCGAAAATTGAATGCCTCGTCGATAAAGTACACAATATCAGCTTAAATACAACGATCATTACTTTTGCATATACCTAACACTATTTCGAATTGCGCATAAAACAGACGTTCGAAAAGAATTGCATTTCTCGCGTTAAATTTATACTAATCCCTCCGAAACAATGTTGTTCCAATGTTCTACCACTTGCACAAGCATAATCCTTAATCTATTTTTATCTAATTTATCTTCTAAAACTTAAAATGAAGCAGAATCTTAACTTCTGTATTAGTGGCTTTACTACTTTAATCATAGCACATAAATATCTTTATCTTATTGGATTTTCCAAGTTAAGAGACGCCATAAATGCATAAACATTCGCAGTCTAATCATGATATTATCCCAAGAGTAAAAATAGTAGGCGTATCAACGTATTAAACAAGTTAACGTGATCGAATAATCGTTTGCCAAGTGTCTACTCATTCAGGAAGGAAGCAATTATCTTATACAGAATTGGAATATCCACGTTTAATCGATTAGAAAAATGCCGAAGTACTTTTATCCGTAATTCAAAATTCTTTGTCCAGATAAGGAATTCCTCTCACCTCGGTCGCCACGGTCGCGTAAGGGATGGTGGTGTAATTAAACTCCCAGCCGTACTGGCAGGCTTTCGTTGGCCACGTAGGGTCCGGAAACAGGACTCCGTTCGACAGCACCTCGGTGTAATTTACATCGTACATGCTGCATCTCGAGTAACCTTCACGGTCGATCGGTATCGCCAGCGACTGTCTGAAAGAGGAACGTAAAAGAGGGGAGTTGCATTTTGGTTCTGGGACATCAACAGTTGGATAATTAACGAGATTCCCCGGCGGGCTAATTAGTCTGATTCAGCGTTCTGCTCGATTCTTATCGATTTGCTCGGGCTTCGCCTGCCTCCCCGTTCGATCGGCGGCTGATTCCTCGTTTACCCATAAAATTGGGAAATCGACGTGATTTCTTCTCGGTGATCAAGACGATCTGGAGACCAATCTTCGACTCGATATCGCGGAACGTTCATTAAGATGGACTGCTTTGGAAAATTATGACTCTTCTTATTGAATATTCAGTATAGGTGTATGAATTGTGCGATATATTGTTATGACGGCATTAATTTCGTGAATATGTGCTCGCGGTACTCAAATCGGTAAAAAAAAAAATAGCTTAATCAACCAATTTTTATAATTAAAATCATTTCATAAGTGTACGTGAAATTAACCGTCGATCTTACGATAAAACCAGAGCACTGAAGAGAAACGCATCTAAATTGAATGTGAGGCAACGTTTTATTAGGTTTTGTAACGCTGTACAGCCTAGTTTCTAACGGCGGCCATTTTTAATATAGTATAATATACTAGGTTTTATGGAATTCCTTCGTTTATGCGTCACGTTTGGAACAACGAATGGGATAAACCGATTCGAATTTATATAAAAACGTTGTTGAATTGCAGTAAACTGGAACCGCAAGTTACTTTTAGTCCGTAATATTCAGAAGTTCGTGTAACCCAACGATTAATTCGCAATTCCGATTATAATGACCCCGTAACTATATACAGTGTTGTAATCAACATCTTTAAGTACGTACAATCGAGGTAATTATTTACCAGTGATTATTATCCTCTTTTAAGCATTCTTAATTCCGCGAGATCGGAAGTTGATATAAAAAAACGTCACTGTCCGATTCGAACCGACCCGAGCTAGTTGCGTGCAGTTACGGAATTAACGGATAAATTTCTCGTGTTACCATCGTTGATTTTTGTCGCTGTACAATGAAAACGAAGCACGATAACATCGACGAAGATATGTAGAACAACACTGTGCAACGCTGAAATGAAATTAGATACGTCGAGTGCGCTGAAATTAACATTTCTCCAGTAACACGATCATCATAATGCATCTACAGTAACATACAGGATGAGGCAATAAAAACTACTGTCTAAAATAAGGCATTACCCATTAGTTGTATCAAAATACATTTTATTGAATTAGATAACATTTTATGAAACACATCGGATGGATACAATTTGATTTCCTTATATCTTATTTTTTTTTTAAATATCAAAGTGAGCTTGAGTTTTTTGAAGGTCAATGCATCTTTTTTAATTCCGTCATGCTATAGGTCGTTGAATTCATACTTCTATTGGCAACAATGTGGTATTAAAAAAAAGATGCATAGACCTTGAAAAAACTCAAGATTACCTTCATATCTACAACAAAATAAGATATAAAAAAATCAAATTGTATCCATTCAAACGTTTTCTGATACAATCAATATGTGACGAGTTATTTTAGATACTAGTTCTTATTGACTCACCCTGTATATTTGAATCTTCAATTTTAAAGCACTCTATTTACATACCGATGGCTCGTATACGAATCCACCACTGTGCAAAATTTGAAGAAAGCCGATCAGGGGAAATTTTATACGGTTTGTGAACACGGTCGTTTTGATAAAAAAAAAAAAAAGAGTATTTAGAGTAGAGACGCGTCCAATTATGTCTTACAGTCTCGCGATTAATCACCCGCTGAACTTTACGTGCAGAACGAACAAACGACTTGCCTTTTGCAGGCGTACGGTGCATTTTTCATAAACGCGTGTCGGAAAACCGCTGTGAAAAGGGAACGAAAAGAAAAATAAATCGCTGCCTTATTTCCTTCGGTCGCTGAATTCACCTGAAACCGTGTTAAACCCGTTTATCTTTATAACATCGAGGGAGAATCGTAATTAACATTTCAAACTACAAACCTAAAAAAACGTAAGTATGTTATTCGTTTCTCATTATTCAAGCGATGGTGCCAACTAAGCTCAAACTTTCGAGAAAAATGCACATCTTCTATGAATATGCAATTTCTCTTTCCTTCGGTAAATCGTTAACAATAACAAGCATTCATCGAGCACAGTCGTGATCATAGAAAAAAAGAGTTAATGTTGTCTTACTATGTGTTCAAGTGTAAAAGATTCCGTAGATTGATTTCCTCTACGATCAGGAATCAATCTGCTAAATATTGAAATGAAAAATGTGCACAGCCACGAGTGGTGCGGATTCCAGGAAGAAACGTTAATTAGACGACCGATCAAGTGTTAACGTTTATCGTCTAGACAGCTGCCGATAATTCTCTTGTTGACAAAAGAGAAAAAAACAATACTATTTCGATGAATCTCGTATTCAAACAATTTTACTTATTGAAAGTGTACGATTTTTGGTGCATTTTGTCCAAAACATTTCCAGTAATCATTTCGGATTTTATTGAAACTTGGATATGTTATAGTCTTTAGTGGTATATCAACGTATCTTAAAGGATTTCTGAAAATTTGTTAAATTGGTGATTTCACAGCTGTTTGAAATATAGTGTCAACCTTTTTTCAACAATTCTTGAAATTTCAACAAATCAACAATTCTTAAAATTACCAAAAATCCTTCAAAATACCCTTATAAAAACTTAAATGTTACTCCAAAAATTGTTCAATTTTCCGTGGAATGACCTGTACACCAAACGAGAAAAGAGAATACGTTTATATTATCACACTTCCCTGATTAATTGCTTCGATTCTGAATATTTCTCAGACATGACAAATTTTCCTAATAACTTCGACGAAATCCAAATTGGGAAATGGATATTCCATTCGGAAAGAACAGAACGGAAACATTCCAGCGTCTCGTGCCGAGCGACGGATCGTTGCATAGTTTCTGGTGAATGGCCGCCCAGAAGACAACAACACCAACGAGGCGAACGCCATTACGGCGGCCTTCGAACGTAACGGCCGTCCACATTGAAGAAGAAGAAAACGAGCGCTCGGAGCTTTTGATTTCGATACCCAGCCTGCCACGAAATGTATGGAAACAAACAAACAGTAAAACCATACAGATTCGTTTACAATGAACATGTGATGTTCCAGCACATGAAAATACGCCATTGAACCTGAACAATTCAATCTCAAAAAGGAGAACATTGACACGGCATGAATTTATCATCTGGGATGCTGATGAAAAATCTAATTGGATTGCGTCGATCTCGACGAACTAGTTCCACTGCATTCATGAATAAAAAAATAGCCGTGATCGATTTTTACCGCTAGCGTTTAGCATCGTTTCTTTTTTTTTATGCCAATCAGATGGATATGACCGATTATGACGCGTAATTTTTCTCTATACACTGCTTTACGTCGTGTGGGCAGCGGAGAACGAAATAAAAAGTGACGATCAATATTATCTTTGATAGGTAATTAGGTGAACTCTAGCAAGTAGTACAGTATTTGTCTTATTATGATGTCCATTGGATACCAATGAATCTAAAAGAAAAAAATTGTCTTAAGTATATTCCCTTGGTGGTATGTGACTCACCGTGTCTCGTTTCTGACCTGTACCGATTAGTAACCAGTCTTGAGAGCATTGGCAATTATTTGTAACTACTAGTTACGATAAATATTAGTTATTATTACTGAAATTGTTATCTTTATTATAGTTACTAGCGATCACTCGTCCACCCTTACATTGCTTTGAAGCAGGATCAGCTTTAGGAAATCAATTTAACGAATGCGATCGAGGGTTGTTAAATAAACATTGCAGAGGTATTGATAGAGTACAAGAAAAAATGAATCGCAATAAAAGGAAGAAATTTTTTTCGTTCGGGGTTTCGTTTTCGAGAAATTTGGGTTCGACGTTCATCTAAAACGCGTGTATTCCT